GAAGGGAGACTAAACAAACCAGCTTAGTGTTGTTGCAGGCAGCTGAGTTAGTTAGAAATATTACAGGCAGTGAGACTGAGCTAGGTCCTCAAAGGAGCCAGTGCACAAGCCAAGACACCTTGCAACTATGGGCGAGACAGACACCTCCCGCTGTGGGCCAAGACTCAAGAAAAATGATCAAACAAATGCATCCATATCCTAAGGACTGATATTCTAAATGGCGCCCTATCACCCTGAGGAAGTCAGGAGTCACGATTCCAAACCCCAAGGGAAAAGTCACTGCTAACAATGCCCATATGTGACTCGCTTCCCCATTTGCCCCTAATGTAAACAATTTTACCTAAACTATTAATCTTCTTGGTTAATCATAGTTCTGTCCCATCTTATGCCCATCTGCCTTGTGAGTTCCCAGTTTTCCCCACCTTGAACCCGTCTCACCCCAATGATTTTACTCTATAAAAGTCCTTGGAAAAGACAGAGTCTTTGGCAATCTTCTCAGAAGCCTTCTGTCTCTCTCAGACAGAAGCTCTCTTTCTCTGAATAAATATATTCTGCTCTTAACTGCCGTTGTTCCCAAAATTCATTCTTCAATTTTAGAGAACATGAGCTCGTACCAGACATAGTAGATCGGGAGTTTCATTCCCTTGAATCTTTATTTAAGAAAATGAAATGCAAGAAGATGTATATCTTTCATAAAATCAAATAGCATTAAAATTTTAAGGTACAAAGGAACATTTAGTTTTAAAAAAAAGACTGCATATGTTTTAGATTTTATAACAAAATATTGAATAGCTTGTAATTTAACACTTATTTTTGGTCTTCAAATACACCCGTCTCATCTTTCTGTCTTTATGAATAGAGTTCAGTAACATTTATTTTCAAAAACAATGACATTCACCATTGAATAATGAACGTTCATACTCAGGAAATGTTTCCTTTAGTTGCCACAACAGAGATAGGAAAATTAGTTCATAACCAACTCTTTTTTTTAAGCAGAGAACTCTGTGACTTAGTGCTTTCTATTTGACATGTGAGAGCTTTCCTGATTTATCTAAGCCTCAGAGCATGGCTCAGATGTTTATTACTGGCAAATATACAGGGAAACATTTATAAAATAAGAATGCAACTCAGAAAGCAACTTGAAAAGGCATGCCAAAATTTTGAACTCTTTCAATTAAAAAATTCTCATAATATTTTATAATAAGGTGCTGGATATGTCACCAAGCTTCCAAGGAGACAGACTTCCACTGAAATCATAGGCCTGGGATGAACTGATGATTCACTGGACAATGTATGGTAGAGTACTTCTTAATAAATTGATGATTATATTTAGGGAAGATGAAGAGGTAAGCACATGTAAACCAAGTTACGGGCCAAGGAGTACAAAAATGGTAAGAGAGAGGAGAATAGTTTGGCAAAGCCAGGCTTCTATGTACAGTGTAGATACTGAATGCTGGGGCTTATGCCTTAGGACTGTGTGAAACTTCTGCATTCCAACTAAGAGGCAAACATGGTAAAAATTTCTTTCTTATTAATGAATCTTAAATCACTCTGCTAAAGTTCCTAAGTCTGGATTAATCACAGTGGACAGTTCATCCATGTTAGCAACTAAATTATTAGCAATGACAAACAGTGAAAAGAGGAAAAAAAAAATGTAACGCAGATGTTCCTGCTAGACGCTAAGTGCTAGGTAACTGTGCTTAGCAAAAAACAAAAAAAGGGGTACAAAACAAAAAAGGAGGAGCTCAAGGAATTTCCCAGCAGCAGCTCAGGAAAAAAATTCTTAAGTAGGACCACTGAAGGATTCAACTTCTAGAGACCCTGTGTGCTTCCTCAAGAAGGGAAAGAAACCACTTACCACACTGTCCATGGCTTCAGGATGTTTCATTTAAGGAGACCTGAAACCAAGGATAGCTACCTAGAGACAGTTACATATAGGTTTTAGGTCCCATGTGGGTAAAGTTGTCATTGACTGTTATTTAGTCAGGTAGAGATGACAGTTTGTAGAATTTAAAATGAAACGACTTTGATGATGATTGCAAAAATAAATATACATGTTTCATTTTCCATTAGCAGAACTGAAAGATCAGAAGGATTTTAAAATTAAACTTTATCTTCATAATGACACTGGAGAATTTTGGAGAATAAATTTAAATTCTCAGAAAGCCTAAAATCTATACTTATTGTTAAAATTCTGGTCAGTGAATAAAATGAGTGATTCACTTTTAGCCAACTACTATATTTAAACAATCTAAAATATATTTAACCTCAGTTGTAGGATTATAGAACTGGAACATATTAAGAGACTATGTCCCTCTTTGGGCGGGACAATCTTTGTTCTTGGGTTATGGGGAACTGAACACCTTTCCCCTTTTCAGATGTTCCTCAATTTTAAAATTAAGGATGGATTGAAACAGGTGATTCATGAACTTGCAGAATAACTAACCAGTAGATATCCTAACCAGCAGTATCCTAATCAGTATGTATCCTAACCAGTAGGCATCCTAACCAGTAAGAATGATAAAGAGCAGCTGAGAAGAAGGATAGCAGCAATCTTCAAATTGGCAGAAGCCCTAAGTTTTCCAACTATTTTACACTGCCTTCTCTTCACTTGTTCTAAAGGTACTGATAAAAAATCCTGAAAAAAAACCCTTTTCAATTTTAAATATATAGATATCCACACATGTAAGTAACTTTCAAGAAGTTGGATTTTAGAATGCTTCAAGTGAAGATAATAATATCCAAGGAAAATTTAGTCGGGTTAGCACAGATATTAAAAAATGTTCTTTTAAATAAATCTTTTATATAAAAATGTTCAGTAGGAAGAGAATAAAAGAGTTTTGGACACAATGCTAAGTATATTGGAGGCTGTGATAGTGCCCTAAAGGTGAAAGATGGTAAAGACCAAAACTTTTTCAAGAAAATCTAAAATATCTTGAGAACAAAGGAAGAAAATAGGATTCTCAGAACTGGTTTTTATATAAGTAGGAGCTGCCATGAGATAACTTGAGAAATGGTGGGGGAAGCAGAAAGATTTCAATAATTCTGAAAAAGTATGCTTTTCTCAGCTAGTCTCAGACCTTTATTGTTAGTACATAAGCAGAAGTGCGACCAAAAAACAGGAAATCAATGCAAAGCTTAATTAGAGTCTAAGACATCAACCTCACTTAAGATTTATAGGCACTGATGTCAGACTGCTTGCTGGATGGAACTGGCTCAAAGCGTGGCCTGCAATATGGTAGGTAGCCTGGCAAGTGTCACAACAAAATTGCATGTGGCCCACCCTGCCTCAGACTTCTTTGGCTCCAATCTCATTCTTAGTGATGTTCCCACCTTGGTGTTGGATCCACAAGCAGGCAAGTGAGCCAACTATGTGTCATTTCACTCATGCACACAAAAAACCAGTCTCGTCTTTCAGGAACTTCATACAGCTTCTTTTTCAGGGTGTTGGAAGGGATAATTGGCTGGTGCCAAATTAAGAGTTGTGAATACACTGTCTTGCTTAGTTTTAAAAGTTAAATACCATTATTTGCTACAGAAAGTTGCAACTTGTCTTCCAGAATTCACAGTGATTTAAAAATCATTTGCTATTAATATAATTGCGTATTACTCACCACCACCACCCACCCCCCCGGCAACCAGCTAGGTACTAAGGAGTACTAAAATCAACAACATGGGTAAGCATGGAGCATCCTACAAAACTTAACACTTACTTGTAGGTGCTGTCTGTGTCTCTTCGCTCAGGCTAAAATCCATTTTCAGGACACAGGAGGAGAGGACTCAGGACCTGTCAGTTCCCAGCCTAGCAGTTCCACGGGCCCCAGCATAACTCCAGAACCACTGAGCACTGTTGGCCAAGCACGCTTTTCACCCACCCTGCGGTCATGTCCCTCGTGCTCTCCCTGGTTACTCTAAACCAGGACTGTACCTTATGCTGGAAACAAATCTATCACCACCCATTGTTTCGTTAAGTGTTTTTATAGGCTTTCCAAAATCTGGGTCAGCAACTGTCACAAAGGAATGAATGGAATCCCGGTGTGGTGGCACAGCCTGCAAATCCAGCAGCCTGGGAGAGTGAGCCACAAGGACTGCAAGTTCCCTCACAGCCAGGGCAATCCTAGGCTCAATTTGAGGTACAGGGGGTTGGGGAGCCCTGCAGCAAAGCATGATGTAAAAATTGAACACTGCTTCCTGTTTTTATATCTTGTAGTCTTATTATGTGGTCTCACTTTTTAAAAAATAATATCAGAGTTGTATCTGTTGCCTGAGCAGTTTTTTCTAAACCCTTAACAACGTTAAAGTTTGGTAAAAAATACTAAAGTCATGTAGTTAGGCACCCTAAACTCACAAATGGAAAGACACTAGAAATAAAGAAGGGGGCACTAACTGAAGGGGCAACTGTGAAAATAATGTTACATAGTCTGGAGTTCATCAGTCATCCGAGCCAATGAAAATCAGCAATTTATGCATCTTTTTTTGAATGCTACACTTCAAAACCTATATATCTCATAAACATTCTCAATTCAGCGAGAAGTTCAGTAAATGAATGTTTCTGTTGTAAATCTGAACACTGGTAAGTAGAAAATTGGGGAAAGTAAGAAAAAGAAGGAGTCATTTGAAAAATTATCATGTGATTATTATCAAAGGTTTTTCGCAGTTCTAGCTTATCTCTATATACGTACACTCTGCATACATAGACATCTACATCTATCTATATATGTATATGTGTTTATATATATATTTCTGAATTTTCTGCACTATACTTTTTGGAAATAAAAATATTGAAGATGAATTTAGCAAAATATACTTATAAAATTATAGATGTTAACTATATCAGTGTTTTAGCATAAATTTAATACATTAATAATGATCAATTCAATTTTGAAAATTAAGGATACATCATAATAATTAAAACACAAACAAAATAAGATACACTAATGCAGTAACATGAAGTATGTGTAGTGATGACAGCTTTATGCTTCTGTCACTGCCGCACTTACCTCCACATCTTGGAATCGGTCCACTCCACATTACTTTTCCATCCATAAGAATACATGTAATTGTTTCTGTTCCCTGGGTTTTAATAAATCCTTCTTCACAAATAACTGAAATTGAACTTCCTAATTGAAAGTTGTCCCCAAACCGCCGTGCATTGATTGGAATTCCAGGATCAGGGCACTCATTATGTCCAAAGGCTTAATAAGGATAAACAAACAAAAACACAGAGCTATGTGACACAGGGGGATCTTTATATATATTTTGATGGGAGAAAAAAAAAAAAAAAAAAAAAACAACTCTTAGACTGCATTCCCCAGTGATATGCAATAGGTGCGCTGGTTTTAAAATACGAATTGTAACCTAAGATTATAAAATTTCAAAATATAGTTATTTCAGCTTTATTATTTGTGAAGATCATGGAGGCATGTCTATGTAAACATTTTTAGTATAAGACAGCCAGAATTCCAATTACTGTGAACAGTAAGCAATTTGTGACTATCTTATTAGAAATTTCTGACTCACTTAGAAGGGAGTGGAAAGACAGACTCATTATAGGAATTAAAATGGAACTTTTCAACTTAGTATGAGAGCCTTCTAATTTCTTTGTAATTTTTCCATGACATTTACCTTCTGTCACCTGGGAACAGGGAAGAGGATTAACTCTTTGCAATTACCAAGTTCTAGATACTATAATATTATCATCTCACTTAACATTTTAGAACAGTGAGAAAAAAAAAGGATCAGTGTAGAGTAATGTTAGACTCAGAAATATCAACATTTCTATGGCCTCCAGCCCTAGAAATAAGACTTAGAAGGCACAAGCATACCTTGTCTTCTGAGTTTTAATTTTTCTCAGCACACTATTGTGTCATGAGTTGTCTCAAGTTTCTCAAGAGAACATGAAATGTCAACCTCAGAGCCACTAAGCTTGTTTCCCGTTTCACTATATATGCAACCCAGTTAGAGCAAATAAGCACGAGTGAAATGACAAAGTACTTTGAATTTTTCATAGGTTATATTTTATGTGAACTACTCCAAATTTTCTTTTCATCCGTCAAGATGGTCAAATGGGTACCATAAAATCCTAACTTAGCATAATATAAGGGGAAACTATTTCCATTAGGAGCAAAGTAGTATCACCACATTGAATTGCAAACTGACAGCCTATAGCCTTGTCAGCTATGCTACTTGTTCCAAAAATTAATGGCTGGACACTGATAACCACATACTCCTAGGTGCTGGCCAGCCACTGAATCATCACATACACACTCCCAATTGTAAACTCGAGACTGGCTATGTCAGTTCAGATGAGGATAAGTTGCTAACACTCAGACAACCTCTTTCCCATTATAATCTCATCACAATAAACCACACCCTCAGGGGAACTGGGACAGATCTGACTGTGCCAAGAGATGCCACACTAATTGCTGGCAATCTCTCTTTTCAATGAAAAGCATGGATGATGGCATGTGTATCACCCTCCCTCACAGCCCAGTCCTAACAGAAACCCACACCTAGACTTAGTCAGCGACACAGTGCCTTCTGCTTATAAACTATATAATACAGGTAATGTGTGTAAGTAGCAAATACACACTAGTATAAAATTGTTCATAAAGGACACACAGGCTGCAGGCTGCTAGTTGAACATGGCTGCTTGAGAGTATGAGCTCTTCTCCATTCATTGGTCACTGAATGATATTCCCTAGTTGTTCCTGGTTATTTGTGAACTACACTGAGTTGGAAAAGAATCTACAGTTTCAGTTACAGTAGTCGGGAATAAATGTGCAAATATTTTATGAGATGTTTATCATTGTTGTATCGATTCTATATAAATACATATTGCTATTCTATTTCTTATTTTTCATGATTTTTCATCATGGCATATTTTTATTTGTAGTATTAAGTTAAACTGCATAAAATATTAAGGTAAAATCTAAAATATATAAAAAATGTACTTTATAAAAACACATTTCTAATAATTATTTTATCTTATGCTATCAGAAAGCATATCTGGTTGCTTTAATATATAAGGGAAAACTAATACTCATCAGAATAAATAATTATTAGAGGTAAACATTAAATATAAGAATTTACATATGATCAATTAAATCACTTAATATAAAATGAAAAAGAGGCTAGGTATTTAGCTTAGCTGCACAAGCACCTGCCTGGCAAGTGCAAGATCCTGGGTTTGATCCTCGGTACCAAAAAAAGAAAAGAAAACAAAATATTTGAAAGTACCACAAACATTAAAGTTAAAAAATATTATGAATTTAAGACAAAGTAATAACTGTAAATCTGACTACATCTATGAAATCATTTTATTAATTATAGTTTTTGCTTTTGTTTCTTTTTGGTACTGAGAATTGAACACACAACCATGTGTTTGTCAGGCAAGCACTGTGACACCAAGCTTTATCTCTGGCCCTTAAAATATCTTTAAAGAAACTCAAATTAAGCATGCATTTTGTACTGCAAGTCTCCTTGAAACAAATCACACCTAACTGAAACATAAATGATACACATTTACACATTGACAACTTAGTAGAGACAGAATTCACTAGCATTGCTTTGAAAAGAAAATAACTGCACTTTGTTAAAAATTGCCAAAACTCAGCTTTCATAGACAAGGGTGGGTGCAAAGTGTAAAATTCTTTTTAAAGGTGAACACCATGAGCTGGACATTAAATCTCACCTTTGTGAAAGTTCTGAATATTAACTTATCAGATCAGTCAACAGAACTCAGTGGAGTTCTACAGATTCAGACAGAGTAAATGCAAAAAGAAGCATTCATGTGTGCATGCATTAACCTTCAAGGTGGGAGTGTGTATCTTCTCTATGTGATGCACCTTTCGGCTACAGTTCTAAAAACTTTTCAGATAAATAGTATTCAATCGTTTGAAAACCAAAGGTATTTGGGTGGTATTCAACAGCCATACAACTCCAGAAACAACTCAAATCTAGAGAAAGAGAAACAATGTAAAACAATCATCAAGGCAATGATTCAAAAGACAGCCCAGTAAACAATACTTACTGTTGTAAGTGATATTAAATCCACGTCCTGACATTGAGTGATCAGCTTGAAATTCCAGCCTCAGTATGTGACTGTTGCTTGTGAGATGGGAGGGCACTTCTGCTCCAGTAAAGGTCCCCAGGATCGGGGAATCCGGAGAATCGCCATCTTTAACAGCGAGGAAGTCAAACTGGGATTCCAGATCGAAGTCATTGAAGGAGAGGTGTATTCGACTTCCGGGGTCAGAGATTATAGTCCAGATGCAATTTAAATTATTTCCATACCCTTCCGGGTAATCGGGAGAAAGAACTGTTCCCATTGGTGCAGTAAAGTTAGAGAGACAAGGAACTGGTAAAATAGGAAGATTATAAAGTACAGTAAATAATCAAAAGCAATACTTTATCTTACTTTGTCACATGCTATATTTAATGATAATCAGCTATTTGATAAATGTATCAAACAATGCAAATTACTTTATGAAGCAGAAAAATAAACATTTGTGTATCAGAAAAGGCAACCAATACCCCAGATGAACCGAAGACAGTATGTTTATATATGTACAAAAATATAGCGAGTAAAAGCAACAATTTATTTTGACATTTATCATGTTTATGTTACTAGTTTAGTAACTACTGGACTGAATCCACACTGAAAATGTGTTTGCTTTGATGATTTATTTTTCCTGCCCAGAAAAAAGTTTGAGATCACATTTTAAAATTTCAATGTGGCAGGGAAATATAAAGGTCTAGTATCTCTCGTGAAGCTCATTCACTTGGTTTTCCTCTACTTCCCAAATGGACTTAAGTGTCCTCCTGTTCCACACTCTTCTATTTGCTGGAAGCTTGCAATAATTTGATTCTGTAACCTCTGATTTAAGTCATACCTCAAAAGCTGTCTGGAAAGAAACACATTCTGCATACTTTCCATGTTGCAAGTTTCGATTTAAACAGACTCCAAAAGTTTCGATGTTGCAAGCCACGTGATCTTTTATGCAGCTACTGTGTCACCTTGGCAGGAGAGCAGTTAAACTGCTATACGGAAGCATGTTTCAAAAGCACTTCACTCGTTAACCCAGGTAGCAGACTGTATTTGGAAGATTTCACTTAGCTTTTTCTGATTTAAATGACACCCACTTGGGCAAAGTCGAACCAATGTCACCACCCTACTCAACCTTATCGATTGAATAGCTAAGTCTTTACATCACATTAAAAATCCACAATGATATTTGCAGTTTTCATGTAACTTCGTTTCGCCCAAGGTTACTACTAACAGTAAATGTATGGCTTACTATTATGTCCTATTATCCATATAAGCATTTTGCTTTTACAAAATTCTTCCATCTATATTTTAATGTTTTGTTTTATGTAACTGCATACCAATATGCAGAAAAAAACTAGGTTACAATTTTGATTAAAGTTACAGAACAATTTGTATATAAATTTGTATATTTAAATATTCTCGTTCAGAAATATGGTTTCAATTTTATTTTCATGAAACTTTCTTTTTGTGTTAAGTTTTATGAGCTTCTACTTTATTGGCCTTCAAGAAAGGATAATTTCTATGAATTTAATAATTTTCTTGAGTAAATACTTTCAAATTCATTTTCAAGACAGGATGTTGGAGCATCTCAGGAAGATGAAAAGGAGGATTGCAAGTTGGACCTTGGAAATTTAGTAACTTTTGGAGTCTGTTTAAAAATAAAAATAAAATAGTGGTCTGGAAATAAGCTAAGTGCCAAGCTTACCTTAAAATTAAAAATTGAGTTCAATTTACTACCATTTTTTTTCAAATTAGATATTGTTTATATGTTAAAACATTGTTAATTGCTACATTCATCATGTATCAGGATGCTGGGCTTAATTACTTTTCAATAGTATTAAATGTTTAGATAGTCAATAAATTTAAAAAAATTGTTTTAGAAATATTTTCAGTAATACATTTGTCACCTATTAAAATGCTTTTCAAATATTATCATTTTCCTGTGATATACTCCATTAAGGGATTTTTAAATATTAAACCAACATCATAATACACCTAAAATTAAAGATACTCAGTCTCTTGAAGTATTAACATAATGTAGGTGATATGAAGAGAATTAAATTAGATTAATGTATTTCCTTCTCTCAAACGTGCTTCACAAAGTGATCTTAGACATAAGAACTGGCCCCAATCTAAGAATATTCTAGTAAGGGAATGCCAGATAATAATTTAAAAAACTAAAAAGAAAAAGAAAAAAAAATCCCACTGCGTTATAATGGAATGAAGAGAGTATTTAATTGAGTCTCTAAGAGCATCAACAAGTAATAACACTTAAGCATTTGTTGTAGTTAAACAAAATATCTGGACAAATACTTTTAATCCAAGCACACTTCTTATCATAAACGTTAATGAATTTTATTCTGTGTAATATAAACAAATGGTACTGTATACAATTAATACAAGCATCCATATACAAAAATAAGTTAATGCATTATACATAAAACAGAAGTTTTAAATATTTTAAGTGTTCTTGATTGCTAATATGCACACACTATCTTTTTAAAATAAATGAGTATTTGAATTAGTACACATATATGATTTCCATAAGAAGTATGCTATGTATAAATAATAAAATGACACAAATTTAAGTGTAATAAGAAAACTTTTAATATATATTTTGAAATTACCAAGTGAACTCTGTTAACTTTATTTAAATCTGTAATGAAATTTGTAATTTGGCAAAATCACACTAGTTAAGGATAGTATCGCAAAGTGCTAGTCATCCAAAAATAATTACACGGTTCCAGCTCTTTGCAATTAATTACAAAAGCAATTATATGCAAGGACAGGGTAGCATATGCTCTCTAGAAGCAAAGCATTTGGTACTCACAGATACAGATGGGTATGTTTGCAGACCATTGGTTATTCTCTTGACAAACAATGGATTTCTCTCCAATTAATTCAAACCCAAACTGGCATTCAAACCTTAAAATATCACGATTAGAAAACCCATCGCCTTCTCTAATTCCATATAAGGGTGTACCAGGATCACCACAGCTTTCTTTCTCAATTTCTGGAAAAATAGAAGATAAAAGTCACCTTCCCAGAGCTGGAGAAACATGATACCACCCTACAAGGTGAGTAAATGTGTAGTAAGTGAAGATATCTCAGAATAAAGGATGGATGTATTCACTAATCTTTTTTTTAAATTTTCTTTTGTTGTGCTTATGGACAGGATTTATTGCAATGATTTATAGGAAAAACTTAGTATATTTCTTCCATTTTGTAGTTTAGGAATCTGAGGTCATTATACATAATGAGGGTGTTAGAGGTTGTACCCAGCAGACCAGTTATACAAAGTCTTAGATTTTGTTTGTACTACATTTATACATACAAATATTCACAAGTATACTTACGCATATGTTTCTCCAAAATCCCAAAGACTTTTTACTCTAGAAGTATGCATATGATACAGTGCATTCTTACATCCTGAGCTGCACATGCGAAGTGTTTATTGCCTGTGTGTGCTTGTATTAGTCAGTGAGTGCCTCTAACATGATCCACAGCATTTTCGGGTAACTGTTGACTAAATTACCTCCCCAACTAAACAATCACTGTCTACTAACAGTATAAATTAATTTTGCATTCCTAATTGCCAAGCTCCACTTCTAGACAAACTTTTACTGGATGAATTGAAGGCTGAAAAGGATGTGTTGTCAGAGCATCATTTAAAAAGCATCTTTTGAGAGACATCAACTATGAAAATATCTGAGACTGGCATGTGAAGAAATGAATGTCAGCAATGCATTACTTGGTGGCTCTGAAATCTCAGTTTTGTCTTCAAACAATTGCAAGAAGAAAGTAAACATAAAACCTGGAAACAAAACTGTATCCTACACTGACTCTGACTCCAAAATTTACACACTTCTGTTTGTTCTATAAAGCAAAAGCCCTGATTTAGTATGCAGCGTTACAGTCTTTCTCGTGCTTTTATATTAAACCTACATAACATGTAAAATTATAAATATATAATATAAAAATTTTTTACCACAATGTATTATTTTATAAAAATATAAATAGCATGCTTTATTATCACCTGTATTATACTGTCAGGATTATTTAAAACAGTCTTTTTAGCCAAGCAATAATGTTTCAGAGCTACAATGTTACCTCAGTTTATGCACTTAATTTGTTTTATAATTTTGGGAAAGATGCCTGCATTTGTGTTTGTGTGAGAAAGATGACCATGGTTATGTTTGTCAACCAAAGTGGAGTTTGTAAGCGGAAGCGAAATTTTGTTAAATGCTTTTGCTTTTGAACTAAAATGTTTGAAAAGAGAAGCATTCATGAAACGAGGTATTACTGGACTTTTGATCACCTTGGTAGAAATCACAGATAGTTATAACCATTCTTTTAAAACACTGGACTTCATTTACATAGTTTCATTTGTCATGAGTGACATTGTCTATAATAATTTGTTGTTTTTCCCATCCAGTTTTAATATCAAGAAAACAAATCAGCAATTTTCTATATCTTAACCAACTTCTATTTAGTTTGTACAGCTTGAATCTTTAGTGTTTGGAATGACCTCCAGAAAGCTTGTAATTTAAGATTCGTTACAGTTAGGATGTTTTCAAAATTGATAGTTCAGTGGTCATGGAATTGTTACAGGGTTTATATGTATTGTTTTTACAAATATAAGTCATAAATCTTCTTCATACTTAAGGATATTTCTTGTGTTTACTCCCCTGGCTCTCTTTCTTTGTACTTAAAAACGGCTGTCAATTTCTTAGTTTTTAAAAACCAAGTACTGCTCTTGTTGATCTGTACTATTGTTCTGATGTTTGTCTAAGCATCGACCCTTTTCATCTTTTTGGTCTTGTCTTCAACTTTCTTTGGCATTATTTTTCTGGTTTTTTTCTATCTTCTTCAGTTAACAACTGAGTTAATTTCATTAATTTATTTCTTTTCAGCCTTGCTAGTTTTCTACAAATACATAAATTTCAAATTTCAGAAATGTTATTCCAAGTACTGCTTTGACATGGGAAAGTTAAAGTTCAACTTCCAAATAGTTTAGTTTCCATTTTATTTTCTTCTTCAATTTAAAAATAGTTTTACTGTTTTTAAAGTCATGAGTTAGAACTACAATTTCTCCCATGATTTATATTTCAGTGCTTTAAAATTTAAGTTTCAGTGTTTTTTTTACTATGAATATTATTTCTTTAGTATTTTATCTCTCTCTCCATGTATCTAGATAGATAGACAGATGATATAAATATAGATATAGATATAGATCACAGTGAATAAACCAGTAAAATATCAATTTATCCATGTCAAGTTGAAATTATTTGTGACCTTAATATTTCTGTCTGCTTGTTCTGACAAGTTACAAAAGATGAGTTAAAATTTCCAATTGAATAGGGATCTTATCATATTTCTTTACATTTGAGTCAGATTTGCTCCACATATTTGAAACCATCATTAACTATTCAATTTACACATGAGACACTTATTTTTGTGGCAGAGGCTGAACTAGAGGAGTTATGTAAGTCAATGAATAAACACAGTGATTCTTGATCTCTAATGGTACATGTACAGCTGGGTGTATACAAACAATAACCAACAAGTAAGGAAAATGGTATTTTAAACTGATACATGTTATGGGCGACAGCTGATATCAGAGAATAGGGGTATTAACATGCCAGTTAGACCTTGCTAGACTTATAGTTTTACTATTCTTATTTAAAAATTGTTTCTGTTACTGGACAAATAGGTTCTTCATCATCCAAAAATGTCCTCATTCCACCTTCACTATTAGTTGCTAAGATACAGAAGTTTAATTTGAAATTATCTCCTTCAACATATTTAACATTTCCCCCTATTCTTCTCAGCATTGCAATATTCCTGATGAGAAATATACTAGCTTCATTTTCCTTTTTTCATAATTAACCTTTTCCCTGATCCTTTCTGTAAGACTTAAGGCTGTTATTTTGAGTGGCTGTTTAAAAAAAAAATACTGGCTTTCAAAATCTAATTTCTCATTTGGTAATTCATTACTTCTGGCAGCTTGTAATATATTTTTTCAGTTTTATTTTTTATTTTATTTTATTTTATTTATTTATTTATTTATTTTGTCTTTTTCGTTTTTATTGGTACCAAGGATCGAACTCACGACTGCCTGCTTGCAAGGCAGGCGCTTATGCCGCTGAGCTAAATCCCCAGCCCCATTTTTCAGTTTTAGAAATTACTAACATTATTCCTTTTAAAATGCTGTTCTTACATATTTATACCTTTTGGAACTTTTTAAAATGAATTTTGGGTATTTAGGATTAAATCCTCATGTTGCATCTTCAACTTTTTTTAAATTTAGCACATTAGAATTTAGCATATATGCATGTGTGTACATTCTTACAGTTGTACATAATAAATTTCAGTTTGCAATTAAACATTTTTATGTTTTTGCTGTAAAACCATGTGTTCATTTCCTAAATATGTAATGATTGTTACTATTCTTTGTTTCATTACCTCCTATTTTTTTACACATACAATTGTTCCCTTTACTTTTGTGAGGATTTCTAGTGTATTTAAGTTTTTCCTTTTTCACTGTTTCTTTGTTTATAAGAAAAGCACTGAGAAACAACTAGAGTGAAATTTTTCTAAGGCCATATGTTTGAAAATATTTTCAGTAAATTATGATTGTTAAACCCATGATGGACATGTGCGGGGAACACAGCTTAGGGGAGAATCAAACTGCTGTGTTTGACTAAACTGTCAGATAAAGGTTTTCGTTCACTTCCTTCCTTAAATCCCTGCAGGTTTTACAGTCTTCATCATGACCTAAACTACCAACTTTCAGGCTTTTTTACTCTAATGTCAGAAAATCATTGAACTTCTGAGGTGAGTACATGCTTGTATTGATCTGTGGTACGTTCTACACTTTGGTGTTCCTCCTGACCTCCAGAGGCCTCTCTTGATGCCCTGATAATTCCCTACCTGAGCACTTGGCTCTGTAGCTGGACTACTTTGCTTGGTGGCAATAGCTAGAGCTTCTCTAAATTGCCATCAGCCTGCTGGCCCTGGGCCACATGGCTTCCCCTGTAGAAGCTGAAGTGATAGCTGTACACTATATACAGCTTCATAGCAACTGAGAATTTTATTTTCCTACTTTTAAGCCTTTTTAAAATGTTTTCTATCATCTTTGGATTATGGCTGAGAGTGTTTGGTTATTTAGAACCAACTTTTTTTTTCCTCCTTTAGTACAACAGTCTCAAAACTCAAGATATGTACGTAAATAAAGGTGTAATTTTGAAGTCATAACACTCTAACATAGACTGAAAAACTGTATTCGTATGTAAAATAAACACACCTATTATGTGGTACTGCCTTTATCATTTTTATCAACACAGGAAGCAAAATAGACATCTGGACAACAATTTATTGCAATAGAGAAGTTTTATATTAGAGATATTTCCAAAGAACAATTATAAATAACAGCTTTCATTTAATGCCCATTAAAATGTTCTGGTACTATTAAAACATTTTAAAATATTCATTATGTAATTTAATATTCAAAGCAGTCCTATAAAGGAGTGACTCTCGCCACTGACAGATGACAAACCTGAAGGTCACAGGAGTGAAGTGACTCACCCAATTTTACATATTTTGTAAACAGTGGAATTTAAGACTTTCTGAATGCAAAGTGCAAATCACCTTGTTATTATGCAAGGGATTTTCATTCACTAGTTATCTATCGATGAAGTCAAATTGATGTAGTTTCCAACATCCATCAAAAAACATGCCAGGCATTATATATCTGTGGTGATGACCCAGTGGCAGGTGCTACTACAATGGCTCTAATGCACCAGAGAGGAATAGGTCAAGTGCTCATGATGCAGAAGATTAGGGTGGGGCCAGGCAACTGGGCAAATGGGAGTGTCCTGTCAATCATGGAGATTCAAGACATATTCCCTGCACCTGTGACCAAGCAGAATGTTGTATTTGTTTTTTCTAGTGTGAAATCAGACAAGTTTTTGATTGGATGGCCTATATCTGACATCAGAATGGGAGATACAG